CTGTATTATGCGTGTCATTTGTGCTTTCTAGATAGTGCAGTGAATCGAACATCAGGTCTGAGTCCTGCACGGGCGTGTCCTGCAAAAGGATGGCGTTTCATGAAAAGCTGGCCTTTTGGAAAGGAAAGGCGGAACAATCTGACGCGCCCGGCGACACACGGCCACCACCTGCAGTTGCAAAGCCCCGCGCGGCGGCAGCTGTTTCAGCAAATCCGCCCAACATCAGACCGCCGATGCTTGGGCCCCGTGCGCCGGCTGCCTCAGCTAATCCACTCCGCCCGCGCGACGGGCCGGCTCCCATTGTGGGAGAGTTCGCAGTTTTCATGCCGGGGCGACATTGCGCGGCTTCACCAACCTCTTCCGCGTCCGTCGCGCTGCCGGGTTTGGCTGGTGACGCTGTCGCAGTAGAAGGGGAGCAACATGGAGAAGGTACTAGAAGTGGCCGTAGCTCGTCTTTTTACAACAAACCATTCTTGGACGAGCTGTGCGATGACAATGAAGAAGGTTCTTCCGCACGAAACGAGTGCGAGCGCGACACTGCAGCGCGAGCAGCGTCTTATCATTGCACTCAGGCGTCTATTTATATAATATTTATTACTCAACGAGGCTGCACTATCAACATGATAAGTACTACTCATCACCAGCATCGCCTGTAATCATGATATTCTAGGTCATTTCCCGCACGACCAAGAGGAGCTGCCGCGTACTGCGGTCGGAGCCGAAGGCGTAGGGAGTACAGAAGAGCCGGCCGCAGAGGTCGTCGTGACGATCTACCGCAAGCGTGACGATGTGCGCTTTTCTCTTTCGACGGGCGAATCCTTGTCAATCAGCACCACCGCAGAATCAGGGCGGGCAAGGTTCGTCTGTAAAAGTGCCGCCGACGCATGTGCGGACGTCGTCCGTCGACACGAATTGCGGTCCGACACGGTTGTATCCAATGCAAAAATGTCTGAGTCTGGAAGAATGCAACTTGTGATGCTGCATTTGGATGTCTAAAAAATTTGCGTTGCATGACCCGCAAAAGGAATCTAATTTTTGCTACGCGGAGAGGGTATTTGTCATGCGGAATAGGCTTAGGCATCAAGAACCCCTATAAAAAAAATGTGATGCTAGGGCATGCATCACAGACATCATGGCTCATGCAAACCATGCATAACAGGTCTCAGGATCTTCCAGACCCAGAGATTTCTGCATTTGATACACGGCGCTTGAGGACAATGCGTTTAACGCTGCTGGAGGACCACGAGGCGCCAGCAGCGAAGTGGAGGTATCGCATTTGACGTCGATGTCCGCTCTTCAAAAGAATCTTCGTACTACGTTTCGTGATGGTTGAAAACGCTTATCAGAAAACTAGGACGTACACTAATTTGAGGGACGAAGAATAAGCGCTGTTGATGTTGTATTATTTTCTTGCTGCATAAAGGCGGGTGGCTGTTGTCGAGCGAACGTGTCGTCGAGGTTTTGATACTTGACTTTCGGGGTGTGGTCCAAAAAAATGTCGCATTTTGACGAAATAGACCACCCGGAAATGAGCACCACAGCAGTGGTCCTCTGACCGTCAAATGTAAAAACATGTACTTATCGTGCCTACCTTCTTATATTCGAAAAAAAATGATGAAGAAGCAGTTGTAAGGGTCAGACGATAATAAGCATCTCTGCGTCCTCGCACACTGGCACTCTACCGACGGAAGTTTTATATTTCGAACAAACAGGTTATGCTTGGCGATAAGGCGGTGGGAGTGCAGGCGTCTGCGGCCGGGCAAGCCGGGAGCTTTGCGAGTGTAGGAGGAGCTACCCGCCCACTTGCAGTTGGGAGAAGTACTATTGCGGTTCCGGCACAGAAAGCGACAAAAGGTGTCGACGCCCCCACAGGAGACGGAATTGCAATGCGCAAGCGATCTACTTCGTCCTTGAAACTACATGAGGCAGGAGCAAACAAAGCAAGTACAGCTGAGCAACATGATTGGAATCTACCGGAATGTTGCGAAGGCGGTGCTGACTACAGCTCGTCTCTCCAGGAGCCGAAGGCTAACCGGTCTGCCGAGCGAGGTGAAGACGTCTCTCCGCCAACTTTCGTATCAAATGCAAAAATGTCTGGGTCTGGAAGAGTCGGAGTTTGTCATGCACATTTTGCATGACCCGGGAGTTCTGTGATGCAGGTCCTAGCATCACGCATTTCATGAGGGCTTCTTCTTGATGCTTATCACGCATGACAAATGCCCTCTCCGCGTGCCAAGAACTGGACCCACCTTGCTGCTCATGCAACACAGATACTTTTAGAATCCACAGACAGCATTACAAGTTTCACCCTTCCAGACCCAGACATTTTTGCATTTGATATTTTGAAGAGATCTGCAACTACAAGTTTGGAAACGATAGCTGGAAGCACTCCTGTGCCCTGCCGATAGCAAACCCGGATGAATACGAAACGCTCAAAGCGAAGGTGATTTACCATCGAACGGGACGCCAAGCAGCTGGGCTTCTGCCGACCGAAAGTGGAGTAGATTCCCGGGGCCTACAAATCACTGGCGACCGCTTGAGCTCTGCTTCTTCGCCCAGCGACTTGCATTCGCGAGGGAGCCTGATAGAAGGCGACGCTGTACTCTCCACGGCTGCCGCAGACTCCTTCCGCATGGCGCGCGACCGCGACCCAGGCGCAGATGCGGCCATTACGCCAAGAGCAAGACGGCCAACTCCTGTGCCGTCGTTGCTGGGAGGAGCAGCAAAGAAGGGAGGGGAAGGCGAAGCATCCGTGTGCAACACGCCCGTGGAGACGCAAACGCTGCCAGATAGCGATCCCGAGTTGTCTCCGCTTTCTCGAGAGGTCCCAGGGCGGGACGTCGCGCTCTGCAGTAGCAGGACTATCTGCACGACCGAAGCCAATCTTAACAGATCAGATGCGGATAGCACAGCCCGTGGCTGTGGAAATGTCACACAATCACCAGCAGGACTCTCTATTTTCCTCGATTCGCCGTTCGTGCCAGGTTGCGCTCCCCGATCGGCTCCGTCGGCACTGGGGGCGAGCGAGTTTCCGTCCCCGGTGTCTGTTGCCAGCTTCCCGACGACTGGACCCCCGGGGGACGTCGACCACCGTGGTGTTATCATTACCGAGGAGCAGCGCCGGGCGCACCTAAAGTCTCGGCTTCAGCCCGCCATTCTTCAATCACCATATTTCCCGACGCGCCAACGTGATTCGAAGGACTCCGACTCATCTTTCAATGAAAATTCGCACAGAAACGATGCGGAGTCGACACTACAGCCCCGAAGTACTTCCGAATGGCCTATGTGGAAGCTACGGAAGTCAGAGTATGAATTTGCGTTCGATAATATGCGCACGACTCTTTATCCAGATGCGCAGCGAATTTTCTTCGGCGACGAAGACAAGAGAGACTTTGATCTGGACAACGAAGCAAGCATGCTTACGCTAGTGGTTGGCTATCGGGAAAGGAAGGCGACAAAGTTACAGCAGGGTAACGCAGCCGAAAACGACGACCAGTGTCATGGCAAAGAAGCAGATGGCTGTGCAGGAGCGCCAACCGCCTCTCAGCCTGACTTTGCGCCGTCTTCGTTTGGTAGGCCGGCAGAAGGGGCAAAAACTTCCACGGTCGGAGAACCGGAGGAGGCCGAGCCCGGCAAAATCATGAAGCGGGCCAGGAGGGCTAAGGTCGTTAACAAACTTGCTTGCGCGCCGAGGCGGGCGCCGAGCTACGCCAATGCATGAATCCCCAAGACTTGCAACCGGCTAACCCCTCGACTCCGACGGACGGACCCGGTTCGTTCGGGCAAGTCCAGACGAATGGGGCGCACCCAGCACAGAGCAGCCAAACCAGGCTACGGATGCGCTGCCGTAAAAGATACAACTCTGGCCATTTTTGCAGGCTTGCTGAAGTGCGGCGCCTGTGTGACGAAGATGACCGCGCCGCTGTTTGTATAGCAAGGCGGTCTCTCTTTCTGGCTCGTCCGCGTCCTCCTCTATCAAATTATTGTTGCTCAGCCACATAAGTAACCTTGTGTGACGTTGAACCTAAGCAATCCAGTTTCGCGTAAGTACGAATAATCGCGATCCATCGCAATTCTCAAAGAATCATGGGGAAGGGGTTGCAGGTCTTGGGGTTTTCATTTTCATCATGACCCGCGCTCTGCTCCATCGTCTTCACCTAAGCAAGACGCGCCCCCGCAGGTGGAAGACAGCGCCGCTGCGGAAGAAAGCCAGTCACCATCTGGGAGCGCTCAGGCTCTTGAGAACCCCTACGGTCTGGAGGAGTCGCTGTCTCCATGTCCATCCCCGTTGAAGAACCCGTGCCGTAATAAATCCTGGGAGGGCCGCCGCGTGACACCTTCTGACGACGTGGCGTCGCGTGGAAGCCCAGGCGCAAAACGGTACAAGTCTACTCAGCAGTAGGTCCTAGCATCGCCGCGATGCGGGGGCGATAAGATGTAGTTCGAGCAATCCATTCGAACACGCGTACCAGCGGGGCAAGCTAAATACCGAAGTTTAGCACGTAGAAGATTTACATGCACTACTTTATGCAGCCCTTTTTGGATTTTGAACGAACCTATTCAAACCAAATGCAACGTCATTGTTTTTGTTTTCAAAGATGGAGACTCATGCAAAGGACACGACCAGCACCGAGTTAGTTTCGTAGAAACAACAAAGCATCTCGAACTGAAAGGCGTGCGATGGGAGTAGGTACCAGTAAACGTATTTTGCAGGTGGATATGCATTTCAGTCAGGGGTCAGAAGAACAAAATGCAGAGCAATACAGTAAAGAGAATCAAACAAGACCGTCGCTCTCCACGTCCTCGCTGTTGTTCAGAGCGACCTAGAAGTATGTGTCAAAAATCCATGAGTGTGGTTTTCTACTTCAAGCCCGCACCAAAGAAATAGGTTTGCTTCATTTGCGAGCGAGGTTTCAAACCGGCATGCCCATTCATTGTTAGCGAGGAATGCACAGAAGAAAGACATTTGATGTGCCTCCTGTGTCTACTTTGAAAGTAGACACTCGTCTGCTAATAGATACTTTTATTCCCAGCAGCAAGGCACGGAAGATACAGTAATACTTACCAACATCACCTGCAAAAAGAAAATAGTACAACATGAAGCCTATGATCACGTGTCTGCTCCTCGTCGGAGTGGCAGATGTTTACATTTTCGGTGCAACGCCGCCCGGTGGTCCGAAACTCAGATTGGCAGTGGATGAAGACGATTCCTTCGTGGCTGTTTACGAAAAATTCGTCTCTCCCGCCGAGGCCACTCACGTCGCGAAACTGGCAGATAAGATGGGTTGGAAAACATGGCCGCAATAAACACAGCGATGAAGACAAAGTACTAAATTTTGCTTTTATTTGGCTGTATTCTCATCTTATGATTTTGATTTCATCTTCGACATAATTCCAAATCCAATCGAGAACGCAATATGCAGGAGATAAGAAAGAGTGTCCAGATGAACAACAATCATGTTGACATATAAAAATTATTTCACTCCTAGGTACATCCAGAGTGCGAGCGCGAAGCCGAGTTTCCGGCACTCTTTCAGTCGTTGCATGTATCGGCTTGCATTTTTCTGTGCAGGTTGTACAACTACAGTAGCCGGAGCGGATGAAGTCGCTGTCGCGCGTGGGAATCTACGCGGGACGAGTGTCGGATCAACACTAGCGGCGCCGAGCTCCGAAAACACGACCTCCACTACTTTAGACGGCACGAATACGGCACCGAGCGGCGCGCCAGCAAGCAGTGTTACAGATGATGCCGATGCGGAACAAGAAATTCAGAGCTTCCAGGAAGTGAACAGTAGGTTCATTCCCGAAGAAGTAGACATCGCGAGGACCAGTCGAGGTCCAGGGCAGGATTTGCACTTTGTTATCGACTATCAAATGCAAAAATGTCTGGGTCTGGAAGAGTGCAACTTGTGATGCTGCATTTGGATTCCAAAAAAATCTGTATTGCATGAGTACCAAAGGGAATGTAATTTATTTTTGCTACGCGGAGAGGGCATTTGTCATGCGGAATAGGCATCACGAAGCTCTCAGAGAATCTGTGATGCTAGGGCATGCATCACGGGCATCAGGGCTCATGCAAAACGTGCATGACAAGTGTCAGAATCTTCCAGACCCAGACATTTTTACAGTTGATATCGACCCCGAATCACGACGTGTTGATCAGGGACGGAGCAGCACGCGACTTCCCAAAGATGCTGACCTGCACGAGGTTGACGTCGAGGTGGAGCACAAGGACGATCACGCAGATGATCCAACTGGTCTTTTTGACAGTCCTGATGAAATAGGATCAGACGAGGTCGTAGCGTCATCTTTTGTTCAAGAGGAAGTAGATGAAGAAAACCAGAGTGTTGAGGTCGGACAAAGAGAACGAACTAGTACAGAAGAAGCCGCGCCGAGGGCCTCGAGGTCATCTTCACACTCAGGAGGTCGAGGAGGTGGTCGCAGATCCTCATCCAGATCTTCCCCTAAGCTTGCAGAAAAGGCGGGCAGCCGCGCCAAGCAGCGCAGCAGTGGTGGGCGCAGCAAAAGTCCGTCTACATCTTCTTCGTCCAGCAAGCGGGACAGGAAAGCTCCTCCTTCTTCTTCGTCCAGCAAGCGGGACAGGAAAGCGCCTCCTTCCACCAAGAAGGCGAGCGGCTTGAAGAAAGGCGAAGAGTTATACCAAGATGAGGATGTGTGGGACACGCGAGGAACACAAGAGGCGGACAACAAGCTCGGGAGCAAACAAAGCCACCATAATTACGATGCTCCTGGCCAGGAGGAGCAGGACGACCAGGACGCCGAGGTGGAGGCCGCCCCAGCGGCCGAGGTCTTCGTGAATCCGCCGGTCAAGCAGCCAACAAGTGGGCTGCGCGAGAAGCACCTGAACGCAGCCTCGCTCTTTCTCTTGCAGCCGACGGAGCGCGGCGCGTTTACGAACCTCAACTCGATGGACCCGTACGTCGCCCACCAGCGCTCCGATGTCGGGAAATTGCGGTGCCGTAAGACAGATTCGCTCGCGCACGTTGCCATGAAGATCCAACAAATCTACTTCACGGTGGTGTGGGAAAGTTTCTCCGGCGAGGGCAACGACGGCTTGTGGACGGAGCGGACGACCCACCCGGACGTGTTTAACTTCATGGACTTCCGCCTGGAATTTTCCACCGTGCTGCATCGGTGTCTGGAGGTCGTGGCGGAAAAGGGCTGGTTCGCGGCTGTGGACGCCTTCGGGGACGCGCTCGGAGAAGTGGAGCAGGTCAACACAGGCCGCTCGTTGCCAGGCACCCCGGGTTCGTCGAACCGGAAGGTCCAGAAAAGGGGCTTAAAAGGAACGACCGTGGACAATAGCGACGGGAAAAAGTACAAGTTTCGCGACCGAGGCGACCGCGACATATCGATTGCAAGGATGTCTGTGTGCGCGGAGCAGTGCAGAGGTTTTTCATGCATGTTTTGGCTCGCAGGGGTGGGGTTTCGGATTGGGGTGGTGAAGATTCTCTACTGGAATGCGTGCGAAAGCATGGCGCATGTCGCTCAGGCCTTTTGCCTGCGGCGCACAAGAAGTTCGCCAAAAAAGATAATTTGCGTTGCAACACGTAAGTACTTGCGAGTTCTCTTGGCCGTCATGCAACGCAAATTTTCACTTTTGTAATAAATTCTAATTTGTTTTTGGATAATTAGATATTTGTGTAGTCCAGCTCCAGGCCCAGAGCTTGCCTCAAGTCCTACCGCACCTTCCAGACCCAGGCACATAATTTGCAATGCATAAGCGGTTGTCGTGTACGATTCCGGGTACTTCCGCAAGATGTCGAAATGCCACCTCGTGCAGAACGAGTACTCGCGACTGAAGTTGTTCATCGGGCTCAGCAAGTGGGGGAACTGGATGGGCAGTACCAGCGACCCGACCTCTATTAAGAGGAAAAATCACCCCTCCCCATATCGAAAAGGTATGATGTTTCCAAAAATTTCTGTTGCTGATTTGAGACCACAAATCGCGTCTCTCTTGCAAGAAGGCAACTCCACAAGCTCCGCAGCATTGTGCAGGCGGTTTGTGATGCTGATGGGCCTACAGCTCGGACGTTCACGTTTCTCATGCTAGACGCCTAGGCCAAAACCTCTCTACTTAGGCTCAGCATGGGCCTGCATTTCTCTCCAGCAAGAAAGAGCCGATTTGTGTACGCAAGTCCTGCATTAGCGACTTCGTTGTCGTGATATGGGGAGGGAGCATTCTTCCTTTTGATGACCTCGTTTCTCGAGGCTCCGGAGGATCCCCCGGAGCTCGAGCGCAGCTCATACGCGACTGTCAGCCGGGCGGGCGACCCCGTGTTTCACCCGGAGCTGGCGAGGAAAACAGACGGAGATATTGATACTAACGAAGACCAGCAAAACCAACTAACTGCAAAAGAGAGGAGAAGCCGGAGCATTAGGCAGGGACAGAGCGTCCGTGGCCGTGATCCGTTTAGATCAGGGACGGACGTGCCGGAGCACACAGGGACGGGCAGCAGCTTTTTCGAAAGGGAGGATGATCGCGACGACGAGCAAGATGAGGAGGTTGAGAGCGATAGCGCGGAGGACGACTTCGTTCTTGGTGGTGGAGCAAAAACGCGCAAAAGGAGAAGAAAAAGATCGCCGGAAGTTGAAGTAGAAGAGCAGAGGTCCTTTTTGGAAGTGCAGGAAAAGCAGAAAATTATTGCGGAGGGTATTGACAGGTTGAAAACAATCCAGCACGACTTCGAGCACCTGTGCGGGTACCAGCACTGGTGGCGTGACGAGTTTCCGAACTTGTACAATCCACTGATTGCATTCTACACGCACGTCGTAGTGGAAGACAAAGAGCTCACAGAGCGGGACCCGGGGCCCAACCTGTTCGAGGGGTTCTACCACCTGTTGCGCATGCACCTCAAGCAAATGCTGGCGCGGCAGCGGCTCAAGCGCGCCGCTCTGTACGCGGAGGACGTCGTGGCGGTGCTCGCGGACTTGCCCGAGGTGTTTCAGGAGCAGCAGTACTTGTTGTGGAGCGAAGTGTCGAAAAAACGGCAGATCTTCGACCGCGCGCGGATCGTGGCCCAGAAGGCCTTCATGAAGTCGGACCCCATGTTCACGCGGGCGATGAAGGCGAGTCAGGAGTCCTACGGGTGCACAGACGGGAACTCGGTGTCGCAGTGCCTGAAGACCTGGGCCAACTTCCCCGACATCGCCGTGAAGCAGCAATCCGAGTTTGCCGCGAAGATGACCGTGATGTTCCGGCGCAAGGTATCCTGAGGAAAAGCGGGCCCCACACCCCAGAGTCAAGATGGGAACAATTGCGGGAGAGTAGAGGTCCAAAACTTCAATTTCTTTTGGCAGTCACGCATGAAGACAACTTCGGCTCTGCAGTGTAGTCATATGTGCAAGCTACTCCAGCCGCATTTTTACCAATCAGCGCTACCATCCTGATTAGCTCGTCGTGGTCACAGATTTCGAAGCACCATCTTCAGAAAATGCCTCTCATGTTGGAGCCGCATGAGATGAAACATCCTGAGCATGCAAATGTGAATGACAGCTCTGGAGGGATCGTGGGGAGGTTTTTCCACAGGATGTAAGGAGCTGGAATTCGGCATCATCCAGAGCGGGCTCCGGCTTCCTGACCTGTTTGCGGACCTGAAAATGGCGCTCGCCCGGTTTATCAACTTCCAGATCGTCGTGTACTTCGACGCCTTGCGCGTGCATCTCGACCTGCCCAGCAATGAGTTTCCGGACCTGATCCAGCCCCCGCAGGGGAAGAATTTCGGAGTCGGCAACGCCGCCGCGCCGGGGGGCGGCGCGCCCCTGGCCGACTACGTCCGCGTGACGCCCCCGCGGGAGTTGCTGCAGCTGTCGGGGAAGTACGCGGGCGCGGAGGGCACCTTGAGAGCGTGGACGCGGACGGCGCACGTGCAGGAGGTGACAGAAAAGTTCCACGGGCCCGGCTGTTTTAAGGACTGGTGCTTGTCGGTGTACGTGCGGGACCACCAGCGCATCTCGAAGGTAGCGATTGGTCAAAGCTCGTGGCAAACACAGCGGGGCAAGAACAAGAATGACGCAGCACCGCAGGACCACGATGCGCGCCCGACCGTGGCTCTCTGGGAGGTCGGCTGTGCGTCCTCGGTCCCCCGCGACTACTTTCTCCTTACAGTCGAGGGGAGCTCGACGGACCTGTTTCTGGACCACGAGCACGGCGCGTCGACCAGCGCTGCGGCCTCCTCCGCATCTTCTTTCATGCAAGAGGAATTGGTGCCAGATGAAGGTTTGTCCTCTTCGCCTGCTCCGACGATGGATTCCTCTGTGACGGTCGGCGCGTCAGACGAAATCGAGAGCGGGGAAGATGAACAAGTTGTAGAGGAGAACAGCCTCGTCCACACGACCAGGAATACACCGGGAGAAGATCATACGGGTGAGAGGGCTACTGGCACGCCCGGCGCCGGTCACGAGGGCCGGAGTTTCCAAGAGCGAAGATTCCAACTGCTGCCATCAGCGGCAGGGGAAGAGCAAGAGGAAGACGATCTTCGGGTCGGATCGCGATCACAGTCGGCTCCTAGGAGTACGAGAACATCGTCAGAGCAGCACGCGCTGCCGCAGGGGTCACCAGGAGACGCAAGCAACGCATTTTCGATGCTGGAGGAGCCGAGGCCTCTACTTTCTACCGACGCAGATCGTCACCACGACGAGCCCGACGAGTCAAAGAGTACGAGCGACGCTTCAACAATGTCATCCCCACACGCTAGCAGCTCCTTCACGCAGGTCTTCAAAGGCCTTGGCAACATGCTCAGTTGGGACCGAGGAGAGAGCGAGGCGCTCAACCAGCAGGACAGATGGGTCGACTGGCTGAAAAAGTCCAAACTTCATCCCGGGGCGCCACTCACAGGCGACGCCTCTCAGCCTGTGTGGACCACAACAAATATGAAAATTCGAAAGGGCGACGACGTTTTTCTGAAGCAAGGATCGGGAGAGAACAAAGGTACTCTACGTACCTTTTCTCATCTCAGACAGAAGCAAGAAGACTGAACACAAGAGCAATAAATAAAAGACAAGCCTCGGGGCGAGCCCTGCTGGGCTCGCCTGGGCTTGGGGTTGTCGGTTGCGGCCGGTAAGTCGGTGACTGAGTAAACTGCAAGGAGACAGGGAGAGGGGGCCCGATGTCAGTGGGGGCGTTGTGAGTGCGCGTTCGCGCGCCGGCTTTATTCGACAACCCCACTCCAGCTTGCGGCCTGCTTGCCCCGCTCCGGCCTGCCAGGCCGACTCTAGCCTCTGCCTACCGGCTGCCGCTGACCTGCCGGCTGGCTGCCGCTAGCCCGCCGGCTGCCGCGCGCTAGCCCCGGCTGGCTGGCCTCTGCCTGCCGGCTGCCGCTGGCTGGCCTCTGCCTGCCGGCTGCCGCTGGCCTCTGCCTTCCGGCTGCCGCTAGCCTCTTCCTGCCGCTAGCCTCGCTCTCTCTGCGCGCCTGCCGGCTGCCGCTAGGCGGCCTGTGCCTTCCGGCTACCGCGAGACAGCATCTGCCTGCCGGCATCCGCTAGATGGCTCCAGCCTGCCGGCCGCCGCTAGATAGCCTCAGCCTGCCGGCTGCCGCTGGCCCCCGCCTGCCCGCTGCCGCTTGCTGGCCTCTGCCTGCCGGCTGGCTGCCGCTCGCCCCTGCCTGCCGCTGGCCTCCGCCTGCCGCTGGCCTCCGCCTGCCGCTGGCCCCTTCCTGCCGCCCGCTGGCCCCGGCTTGCCGGCTGCCTGCCGCTGGCCTCTGCCTGCCGCTGGCCCGCCCCTTCCTGCCGCTGGCCTCTGCCTGCCGCTGGCCTCTTCCTGCCGCTGGCCTCGGCCTGGCCTGCCGCTGGGGCTTGGCGGCCTCTGCCTGCCGCTGGCCTCTTCCTGCCGCCGGCCTCATCCTGCCGCTGGCCTCTGCCTGCCCTGCCGCCAGACTCACTCTGCCTGCCGGCTGCCGCTAGCCTCTTCCTGCCGGCTGCCGCTAGCCTCCGCCTGCCGGCTGCCGCTGGCCTCTGCCTGCCGCTAGCCTCTGCCTGCGCTGCCGGCTGCCGCTGGCCTCTTCCTGCCGGCTGCCGCTAGCCTCTGCCTGCCGGACGCCGCCCCTGGCCTCTGCCTGCCGGGTGCCGCTCCTGGCCTCTGCCTGCCGGCTGCCGCTCCTGGCCTCTGCCTGCCGGCCGCCTGCGTGCCGCTAGCCTCTACCTGCCGGCTGCCGCGGGCCTCTTCCTGCCGCCAGCCTCTTCCTGCCGTTGGCCTCTGCCTGCCGCTGGCCCCTACCTGCCGCTAGCCTCTTCCTGCCGCTAGCCTCTCCCTGCCGCTAGCCTTTGCCTGCCGGCCAACGCTCGCCTCTTCGTTCCTGCCGGCTGCCGCTAGCCTCCGCCCCCCGGCTGCCGCACCGCTTGCCGCCGGCTGCCGCTAGCCTCTCTCCGGGCCGGCTACCGCTCGCCTCTGCCTGCTGGCTGCCGCTGGCCTCTGCCTGCCGGCTGCCGCACCGCGCGCCGCCGGCTGGCGCTAGCTGCCCCTGCCTCCCTTCCGGCTGCCGCACCGCGGGCCGGGGGCTGCCGCTGGCGTCGCTCTGGGCCGGCCGCGCGCTAGCCGATTGGCCGGCCCGGCCGCCGCTAGATAATCCCCGGCCAATGTTAGCCTGCCGGCTGCCGCTGGCCGTCCAGCCGCGGCTAGCCTTCCGGTTGCCGCTGACCAGCCTGCCGACCGGCCACTGCTAGCCTTCCGGCTGTTGCTGGCCTACCGGCCGCCGCTAGCCTGCCGGCTGCTTTGCGCATCGCGTGGGGGCTCTCTTGTTGTGGTCCCTGGCTGCCGCTCTGCTCACGGCAGGGACGACCTGCAATAGTTAGCTTCTTGCGCCCTGTCCCTTGACGAAATCGCGCGGGCCGCTCTACGGGCCCTCTTAAGCATCCCCTTAAAGATCTCCTTAAAGATTCCCTTAAGAATGCCCTTAAAGATGCCCCTTAAAGATTTCCCCTTAAAGAAATCGCCTTAAAACCTTTCGGCCTCCCTGAATCCCCATGCTACGGGCTTCTGGGTGCCAAAACCTTGCGCCAACGCACACAGAAAAACGCGTCATACCGTCGGCGCAAAAATGAACCCCCATGGCCTCATCGATTCCGCCCCCCCCTTTTTTTAAGGAGTTTCTTAAGGGGAAGTCTCAAGGGGAGTTCTTAAGGCGTTTTGTTCATAGGAATAAGTAGAGGGAATGTGATGTTGCACAACCACAAGCGCTAAGTCAAAGATAAATCTGGCCTCAGTGTCTGTAGAAATATGATCCAGGGAAGAATCTTCAGACTTAAGTATATGATTATTTCTTGCAGCTTTTATTTCCTGCAGGTGTCACCGAGGACATGTGCCGCGCAAAGGTGGAACAGATGGACAGTAAGACGAAGGAACTGAAATTGATTCTGTACGAATCCTACACGCGAAGCGACCTCGGACAGATCGCCGAAAGCAAACGTCCAAAACTTGTTTACCGAATCGGGACCGGCACGGCGATCGACCCGCTGGATTCTGCCTACGTGGCCTTGAACCCCGAACCATCCGGCGTGCAGACGCAGAGCGGCTCGTCTCTTGTGGCTTTCAGTTACCACGAGCCAGCCGGCGGGATTGCCTTTCGAGTGCAACAGAAGACGGTGCGAGGGGACAAGGGCGTACGCAAGCAGCAAACCGTGCTGATTCCCTGGGTTGCCGAGTGGGCCACGCCTGAGTCGCGCGACCGCCTGTGCCTGCTTCTCGTGCGGCAGAAAAAAAACACCGACGTGCCCGCAGTAGGTGTGTGCGACGAGAAATCGGGTAGCAAATCGAATCAGGTAGGTGCGCGAGTTGTGTTTGCCCTAAAGGAACAAGGGAGCGACAACTCAAAATTTTGCGCGACCATACCGGGATCGGGAAGCGCGAGTCGTTGCGTCTGGTGGACGGCGCAACCAAACCCGCCCTGTGCGAAGTTCCTCGGGGCCACAATAATCACGGGAGAGCACTACAGCCAGGACGTTTACCCGGCGGCGTACCTGACGTTGCGCACCGCGCACGGGAAGAGCGCCGATCATCTGCAGGGAGACATCACCAAGGTGGAGATTACTCCGGCGAGCGGCACTACCGAGACAAAGCAAGTGCATGTACAGGGTGTGGGTCTTTACCGCGCACAGCTGCGCGTAGGGCTGGGCGGAAGCCTGTCGTGGTCACAGAAGACTCGGCAGCAAAGCGCAAAATGTCGCACCGGACTGGCGCACGTGGGCGCCCTTGCGATAGAGGGGGCGGACGACCTCGAGCCTGCGCGCCTCGGCGCGGGGGCGGACCACGCGGCGGCTGCGCAGGAAGTACACTGGAATCCCGCGTTCGATAGCACGCAGCGTTGGAAGCACTGGAGAGGGATGATCACGGAGGTGCGGCGGCCCGAGCACGAAACTATTACGGAGTTCGCGCAAACGGCGATCGAGTTCTCGCACGCATTTGGGAAGTACGAACTGATGCTGGGGCTGAGCGGCGCCCCCGCGCAGAACTTTGGTTTCGGTCTGCAGTTTCGGATCGCCTCGGAGAGGTGGCGGGACATCACTCTGAAAGTAGTGGCGGGCCTGCAGGCGGCTGCCAAGCGAAAGCGCACTGCGGTGCAGCATGATCAGCACGGCGCAGGAGAGCAGCACGGGGACGACCACGACGGTGGTCATGATCACTACGCCTCGGTCGGGTATCCCAGAGAAAAAAGCTGGCAGGTCATATGTGTATATGCAAAAAAAAATACACAAAAAAAATATTAAAAGTTGAATAAAAAAAACATGTATTGCATATCCTTATCCGAAGCAGCATGCTATGGGGCGGCCCATGACAAGTTTTTCTGTGTATTTTTTTATTTTTGCAATTGGACTCTGTAAGACCTACCTCCTCCTCCTTGCTGTGGACTCCGTAAGACCTACATTACAAAAAAAAAACAGACATGTAGGAGGTGGATGGGATTGAAAGATGCATGAAAGCAAGCGCGTGTAAAGAAAAGAAAAGGAATCGCGAAATGGGTTCTACGAGTTGCTTTGGGTAGTTTTGTTGGTCACTGCAAAAATGGAATCGCAAGTCGTTTGTGCGTCAAGCCCTCCGCTCGATGCTGCCAGTCAGCTGCTGGATGACGGTGCCGGACCTGCTCGCTGCTGCGCGCGACGTTGGTGTGGATGGTCAACATGGATCGCCAGCTCCCCCTCTTGCAAGACCGTTCTCGCCTCCATCTCAGTGAGGTCGTGGATAGGGTTTGGCGGGTGACTCCCGTTGCGCGATGATCCTGCCGTTTCTGATTACACGTCCCCGGCACACTCGGGTAGTAGGTCGGGTTGGTCGTTTTCCATCGTCGTTCGCTTGGACCCTGGGGTTTCCTTTAAGGCGTTCGGCAGGTCTTGCGGCCTCGCGCTTCAAGGTGTGTTGCCCTGAGATCGCGTGGTTTTCGGACTACTGCGGATCTGCACCTTGCTGCCCGTTGTGCTTCTTGACTCGTGGTTTTCCTCCTTCCTTGCTTTGCTCCTCCTGTGGTGCTTGGTCCCCAGAGTTCCGGGGCCTTGGTTCTCTGGGTTACCTGGGTCGAGATGGCTGCGCGGTTCGATTCTTCCTATGCCCCTGCCCCTCTGGTCTGTGCCGCTGCAGTCGGAGGTGTGCGTTTTCATTCGTCAGCCAGCCTCTTAGAGCTGAAGCTATATGACGTTTGCGTTGGGGAGATTATCAACGGTCCCTCAGGGCATTGCCCCGTTGCTCGCTCTTGGTGGGAGGTGGTTGAGCTTGCTTCGGGAAGAGTAGCCGGAGTTGAATTGGCTTCTTGCCTTTTCATTTGGGTCTGGTCGACTATAGGTTCCACCCTCGTTTCTCACCTCCAGGGGCCCTGGGCACCTCGCCATTGATGTTTCACTTGGTGGAAGATGACAGGGTTCTACGAGCTATTATGGGTGTCTATTGTCTTTTATTTTTGCATTACAAATATGCCCTGCCAGACCCAGCTTTTTTCTCTGGGATATCGGAACGAACGTACTTGGCGGGGAAAGGCTCCTACCGACCTCGTACCGGATCGCCGAGGGCCACATGCACGGCCGCAACAACTTTCGTCCGGATTCCTGGGATTCCGAGGGCGTCGAGATGTACTTCCTGTATCACGAAGCCTTTCAAAAGACACTTGATGCCATTGTGATGGGATTTCAGCTCTACGAGTTCAGCGCTCTATGAGAGTACACAGCTCCCCCCCTGTCGCTGCCTCGGAATTTGAAGAGGATGGACTTGGACTTGTGAAGGCAGGGGCATCAAGGGTGAGAGTTTAGCTTGTTCTGCATTTTTTACGAACGAGCATAAAGATCCACGCCCACCGATATCGATGAATAGTTACTAGTACTCATAAATATATCTGCATGATTCTGCTCTATATTGAGGGGGGCTTCCCAACCTCAACATCAACTTGCCAATGTGAATCTAGCCACGCAGTAGAGAAAATCAAAGGCAAGAATGATGTGGTCGGTACTTTATGGTATGTGCCTTGTTCCTGTTCGCGCACGACAACTCTTGCTGAGGAGTCGAGGGGAGGAGCTGTTCCATGTAATATGTGAATCACGCCGACGGGATCATCCAGGAACACCACTTGGTTGACGCCCTCGAGGAGTTAGGTGGGGAGGGGGAGCGGAACGAGCTTGCGTCGCACATACTGGATCATGCTCTGCACGGGAACGAGCAGCTGGGCGCGATTTTGGGCCAGATTGCGCACTTCCACCACATTTACAGCAATGTGGGTTCCCTTGCAATGAATGCGGCGATCATTGGCATCGGAGCCATGGTCTACCACGGAATGGACATGACGGCTTTCTTCACGGCCGGTTGGACGTTTTGGTCTGACGCGGTGTACACAAAGCTGGTGGGCGTTGCAGCGTTTTCGGTGAACCGCGGTGGAATGGGGGCGATGGGATTTCTTGCGGGCGCAAAAATGCTATGTGCGAAAATCACTGTTCTTGGACACGGTGTTTTCGGATTCGGTTTCATAGCGACTGTGACGACAGCAGTTGGTTTTGCGCTGCTGTTTAGCGATGCGCTTTACACGTTTGTTCCCGTTCCGCCGGCCTCGCACTTCCTGGTGGCGCAGCGGATGGAAGTCCGGAAAAAGCGCGACCGCGCGTACGTATTTGCGGCGCTGCCTGTCGCCCGACCGCTCCTGAAAACCCACTTGGGTCTGACCAATGGCGGGATGGGGCGTGGAAGTACCGGCGCATCCCGAGATGTGGACCAGCGCGGCCAAGCAATGTGGTCCGGGGCGAAATGGCTGCGCGGTCCGGTTGGAACGTTTTCTGCGACGCAGTCCTACGGTTTGTGGAAGCCCCTCGGCATCTCTCGTGATGAGGACGCGGATTTACTGAAGGGCGGTAGGAGCGACGGGGACGGGGTCGCCGTCGCCACTGCGGACCTCGTGGGGAACCTGATTGTTTCGCGATGCACCGAAGCCGGGAGTGGTGCAGCCTGTCGCAGTTTCGGGACTTTTCTCCCCGTATCGAATGCAAATATGTCTGCGTCTGGAAGCCGAGGCTCGCAGATGTCTGTAATGCAGGTTTTGCATGAGCATGGGACCGATGGCCCAGGCCCAGGGCGTCCCTGCAGGTACCAGCGTCACAAGTTCTGCAAGAGCTCTGCAATGCCTATGTATTCTGCATGAGAAACCCACTCTCAGGGCGGCCAAAAGCAAAAATGAAATGCATGGCCGAGTTTTGTGTAGTTGGCAGAGAGCCTCACAAGTTTGCACCTTATTTCCAGACACGCACATGTTTGCAATGCATACCCCGCGGCTGCCGCGGAGGTCCTGAGCGCCGCAGAGGCGGACGCCGCAAACGCCGCACAGGTCGACCTGAACGAAGATTCGGCGATCGCGCCCTCGCAGCGAAAAGCCGGAAAGAGGACCGTGTTTACTTCACCGCACACGGACCTCCTCGGTAGCGCAAATAATGTGTGGACCATGAGGTTTGTGAAAATGGCCCCCAGTCACAAAGACCGCTGGCCCGACCTTGCTTACTTTCCGTACTATCAGGAGATCCCCGACCTCAGCGCTACTGTCACGGTGGACAAGGAAAAGCCAAAGCCTCCTGCTGCGCAGACAGCGAAGTTTTTACCCCACGGCTACGTCTATAACATTGCGCCGGAGTCCTGGGCCGGGCAGGTACTGGACAGCGCACTCGCAGGACAAAACCGCTTTGCGCGCATCGTGTACTCGGTCGAGCGCGAATTGAACCGCCTCCTGTATCTGATGATTTCGATGTTCCCGAACGAGATCCGGCTGTCACAGGCAGGAAGTCGGGCGTTCGAGTCTCAAACGGACAAGGCGCGGTCTGATTTGCAGGATTCCCTTAACGAGAGGGCTCTAGGAGTGGAAGATGTCCTGCAGCCCCGAAACGCCTTCGTGAAGCAGATGCCGGCTCTAGTAAACGGCCGGACGTGCCTTTCTGTAGTTGGTGGAGACGAGAACGACGCAACAGCGGAGCGCTCGTCTAGAAACAGTGACCTAGGAGTATCCTGTGTAAAGACGTCCTCGCCCCATGGTCAAGATGGGAAATCTGCTGGACAAATCAACAAGCTTTGGTTGTTCCGCGTGACATGTTTAGCTAGTTCAGCAGCGTCACAGATCTAGCGCATCATAGTCAGACTGGTTGGAGCGTGACAAATGCAAATCCCGAAAAACGGCGACAAAATGCTTCTCATGGGGCTCCGTACGAGAAAGAAATATTTTCAGCGTGCAGATTTGCATCAAAAAAATGATTTGCGTTACAGCTATGGGGTGGGGACGTTTTTACATAGGATAAGGAGCGGACAACCACGACCCTGAAAGCGGTGGGCGGCTGCTGGTGCCGGTTGATGTTTTGCACAACGACAAGGACAAAATGGCCTGGCTCGGAACGATGGGCGTGATCGGATTCAACAAACTTTTCAGCCGAAAGGTGGGGAGGACCTTTGGTTTCGAAGCTGACCCTTCGAGTTGTGTAGATTCGGAGATACGGGCCGCCGAACAAACGGGCACCGCCATCATGGGCAGCCTATTTTTTCGCGGACCGTGGCGGTCGCACGGCGTTCTGAGCGTCGAGGCCTCGACCGAGGACCGTTTCGCGGTCCGGAGGTGGGCGTTTGCGGCGTCGGAATCGGCTGCTCGGCCACCGGTCGTCGGCTCGTCTCCCTCTTCGGTCAGTGCGTCGGCAAGCAGTTCTTGGGACGTCAAAAAGGTGAGTATTCGCTGCGACCAACTGGTGCAATTGGATCAGCAGTACCTTCGGCCCTATTTCGAGGCGCGGTTCACTTCGAAAAAGGGGTTGTTTGGCTACTTCCTGCGGTTTCTGTCTGTGCGAAGCTGGGCCAGCGGAACGGTGGACCAGTTGCACATGTACAGACCGCCGCCGCTATGTGCATGCAGGAAGGCGGCCTCTGCCTCCTTCCTGCAGACCGCGCGGGAGGGCCAGGCGCTGGCAGTCGGGGAGAAAGAGAAACTTGAACAGAAGAAGCAGCAGTTGCAACCAGGCCCGATAGCTATGGCGGCGGGGTTAGTAGGTTCGGTGGGTGCTGGGATCGCTATGAACGCCGTGAACCGGTTCTCCGGGGACCTGAGCATGGCCTGTGGGGGCGAGGTGCCGTGGCGTGGCAAGGGTAGCGTTGGTGCGAACACGAGGAAACCGGACGACCTGAAAAACGCTGACGGCAATCACGGCGGGGGCACGCTAGAAAGCGGGAGCCTAGAGGAGGAAGCGGCATTAGTCCATTACTGGTTGGTATGCATTGCAAATGCGTCTCGGTCTGGAAACTGGTCGTGATACAGGTTGGACAATCATGAGAATCATGCCTGACTTTTTGGCAGCCGAGCATGACAAGTTTATTATTGAGTTTCTACGCTTAGGCTTACCTTCTCTTCGGAGCGGGTAACGTGGCGTAAGTTGCTATTTCCAGGGGACGAGAAGGTGCCTTTTCTGCATGGCAAACGCAAAGGCAAAGTGCGTTTTTGCATGACAAAAAAGTGGGGTGCTTGGGTGACGTGCATGACAGCCTTCGGAGTCATGCTGGCCGAGCATGACAAGCCTTGCACTCTTCCAGACCCAGCCATATTTGCAGGGGATAGCTCGAGGAGGCGCTGACGCTTCTTGGCCCCGTGTTTCTTCTGCCGTTCGAGATTCGCAACGCCGTGACGGCGGTCCTTACGCCAAAGAGCGGCTCGCTGGAAGAGAGCTCCTTCAAACCGGACAAACCGTACGCGGAAAGGGTGGTCTGTTCCATGGAGAACCCAGCCGCGTGGCGCAGCGAGGACGCCAAGGTATCGTACACCTTCAGAACCGACGGGGGGCAAAGCCAAAAGGAAGAAGAGGTCACGCTGTCCTATCCGGCGCTGGACTGCGTGCATGCCAAGATGGCAGCGGAGCTGCAGGCAAACAAATACCTGGCGAACACCTTCAACCTTGGCAATGCGGCGGCCATCCATCTGCGCGAAACCACGCTGCAGCTTCCCGGACTCCCGCAGTCCACGGAGCGAACCGGGACGTGGCGGTGGCCCCAGTGCGAAGAGGCGAGTGATCTGATCAGCTTCGGATTCTTCGAGAACCGGGGGAACAAGCTGGAAATCAGCACCGGGATGCAGGCCTGGGTGGATGCTACCTCTGTGCTGTGGCCCAGTGCGGCGGACTTTGTCCGGTATCTGAAGCAGAACGCCGACCGCTGCTCGGCCAACCGACTTCTGAACGCGTTTCCCTACAACGCCGCCGGATCGGTGTGCGTGGAGTCCGATTCGCACGCATGCATGAAGGACGATATTGAGGAGGCAGACGAAGCGGCCGCGCACCTCCGGTAGCCAAGACATTCTGTACGACACTGTTTAATACTACAATATTGATTTTTCGTCAAAGCGGCGCGGCTTGCGATGTCAATCAGTACGAAGGACCTACTGTTGCTGTTGTGTTGAACTGCCGAAACGATCGATGTTGCGGGTAGTGTGCCTGTCAGTCCTGCAGGGCCGCTGGTAGAATGAAGTAACACGGCGCCGACGAATGAATCCAGAAGGCACGAGGTATTCATCGCGACTCAACGGCTGGTCGTTCTCATTCGACTTTCGAGATCCCTGGCAGGAAAAAGAACAGATCTAGACCTGCAGAAAAAGTCCACCCGTGCGTGCTGTCTATACAGGCGAGGACCCTGTACAGTGTGCCCCGGCATCGAGGGTCAGAAACGGAACGGAAAACGCAAGCTGCTGCTCTGCTGCTTCACCATCCTCCAATCGAAGAGCTTCTTACTTACTCAACGCAACGCCATGGTTGTTGAGTCAGGCCTCTTGCCGTTACCTGTTGCTTCTCGCCTGCAAGTCCGCTCCCGTGTGAAGATGAAGGAAGTCCACGCCAATTCAAGTTTGATCAACTTCTGCGGGCGCCAACAGTAGTTGCGGTACATGCGAATGGGGCAAGGGAGGAATTCATCACAGACACAGGAGCCACGCTGACACCAGATTATTTGACCAAAATGAACACGCAGCTCGGGAAAGTAAAAAAAAGGAGAAACACAAAAAAAATAAAGTAAAAACACAAAAAAAAGCAACCTTCTAGTTCGATTACAGCAAAACTTTAACTGGCAACTTTCTTTTCACAAAAACAGCTTCACGCAGTGACAACGTAAAAATCTCTTCCTTTGAAAAAACCGTTTACCTCGAGCTCTCTCGTGCAACTTTCAACGATCAAACTTTTACAAGCAAGCAGCTCTTCAACTTTTGGACTTTCACCAACGAAAACAACTTTTAGAAAGGTTTACTTTTAGCAATAAAACTTTTTCGCGTTCGTTCTACCAGTCCGTTCTGTTTTTCTCAAGAAAGAGCTCAAAGTGGCTCCTTCTAACTGGTATTTTTATTGAAGTAGCGATATTAAAAGTAAAAACACAAAAAAAAAAACAACCTTCTAGTTCGACTACAGCAAAACTTTAATGGCAACCATCTTCTCACAAAAACAGCTTCACGCAGTGACAACGTAAAAATCTCTTCCTTTGAAAAAACCGTTTACCTCGAGCTCTCTCGTTCAACTTTCAACGATCAAACTTTTACAAGCAAGCAGCTCTTCAACTTTTGGACTTTCACCAACGAAAATAACTTTTAGAAAGGTTTACTTTTAGCAACAAAACTTTTTCGCGTTCGTTCTACCAGTCCGTTCTGTTTTTCTCAAGAAAGAGCTCAAAGTGGCTCCTTCTAACTGGTATTTTTATTGAAATAGCGCTTGAAACACACGAGAGAAGAAAACCTTCACCCGGATTCCGTGTATCCAATATGAACAAACAAACACGCAGCTCGGACAACTCGGAGGCGTAGCTAGTTGTTCAGGTGTTCTACTGGATGTAAATCTTCGGCGTTTAGCTTGCCGTCTGCCTTTCGAAAATGCCGAAGTTTAGCACGTGCGCGTAGCATTGCTATCATCCTAATTACAACGACTCACACTTCCGAGCAGAGCCACAAGCATGCTGCAGAAGATATTGATCCCAATAAGAGTAGTACGCCGCGTGGCTAGAAAAACAGCGGCGGTTGGATTTGAACAGTTGTCTTGCCCTCATTCACGTTGTTCGCCCAGACAATCATGAAAAAACAAAGATGCGAGTGCTCAGCTTAAGTAGAACAGCGCCCCTATTTTTGTTGATAGCATTGCACAACGTGAACGTGGCGGCCCTCTACTTTTTTTTTTGGTAAAACAAGGAATCAATTTAAGTTCATGGAATCAAGTTAATTGGAATCAAGTTAAACCTGGAGTCAGGTTATATGGAATCAAGTTAAACCTGGAATCAAGTTAGAGGGAATCAAGTTACTCTCTGGAATCAAGTTGAATGGAATCAAATAAACCGCCACAACTTCATCCCCATCAATCCTTCGCCTCGCAATGCCTCGCCGACCTTGGAAGAATCTGCTGCTCTTTTTGTGCTTTGTGATGGCCATACCCTCGTGCCTAAAGTTCTCCTAACTGTTTTTCAAACGCGGCCACGTTTATCAAACATGCCTGGCTTTTCTTGCTCTGGTGGATAGAGACGTGGCGAATAATGTTAGAGCTAAGCTCCTCCTCCTTCGCGCGCCCGTCGTGTTTTGCGGCCCTCTTTCGAAAGTTGTCGGGGCTTTCGCCTTCCGAAGTTCCCGGGATTCGTTCCATGTGTTTCTCCTTCCTTCGCAAGGTGTGTTTCTCTGGGGATTCCCTTTTCATTTCGCCGTCCCTCGGAAGATCCATCCGTCCCTCTCGGAGTTCCATGCCCGTTTCGCCTTCTCTCGGAAGAGTCACTGCTCTCGGGATTCCGCCTCCACTTCGCCTTCCTGGGGATGGTGTCAGTCTCGGGGGATTCCGTTTCGCCTTCCAGCAGGTGTCTCAGGGGACTCCATTTCGCCCTCCTGTGGAAGGTGTCTTTGGGGATTGGCAGGGCTCTCCTCTCTGGGAGTTCCATCTTGTCTTCCCGATTTCCGGGGTTTCCGCCTGCGGCACTAAGGGGCCGAAGCTTTACCTCAGGCGTTTGGCGTTTGCCTTCGCCTTGGGGAGATCCGGGCTTTTTACCTTCGGAAGCGCCGAAGCTTTCACCTTCGGAGGCTTCGAAGCTTCTCTGGCTTCGGCAGCCCCGGGCGTCTCGCCTTCGGAAGCTCTGGCGGGTCTCTCCCCGGCGTAAGGTCCGCAGCTTGATTTCCTCTCGGGGGTGTCGGAGTTGTTTACTTCCTGGCCGGCGCGAAGCTTTCGCCACCGACTCCCGATTGAATGGCCCGAGCTTATTTACACCTCCTGCGCGACGGGGGCTTTTCGGGGTTTTTCTGTGCCCGTGCTCTATTGCGATCGGGAGTGGGTGTTCGAGCTTTATTTGCGATCCACAGGCAAAGCGCACAGACTGCGAATTCATGCACGGCTTTGACCGAAGAGGCTTTTGATTTTGCCTAGAAAAGTTTTCTAAGAAAACGACATATATTTTTGAATCGCCAGCATATCCACCATATTCACTAATATCAAAGCTGCATCAGTAATTATGAGTCACAGCTTTTACATCAAGAGTCAGGGACAAACTACTGTCGCGAACCGAGATCTTCAACACTCACTGACAGATTTCCTTTGTACTCACGACTATGATCGCATGACACAACCGAGTAGATCGCTACAGTTTTACTTTTAGAGAACGGACGAACGACATCGAAAAAATCGATTGCCATCGACTTTCGAATTCGAACACGGTGATAGGACAATAGGAACAAGAAAAAAGGCACCAGCAGAGAGGCAGAGAGTATGAGTACTTGCAACTCGTGTTTCGATATCGGCGATGGGACAAGAAACCATTTCTTTGCAATGAAAATCGACAAGAACCGTTGCACTTTTTCATTTTTCTAGATCTACGAGCTCGAACCAACTCCCACACCGACCCGGTAGTAAATCTCGCGTGGTTTGTTTCCCTGCATACAAACAGTCGGCTAATCGTCTTCCACACGCTACTTATCCAACTGGAACACGCTTGGCAGCGACACCTGGAGAAAGTGATTTCTGCACATTCAACAGGACGGCACGGCAGCAACAATACCCTGGAGGTTGTCTGGTTAAGGACCGGACATCCTGAGACAAGTGCGGGAAGGCAGGAAAACAACAGCACGCTCTCAGGAAGCAAATCCCAGGGAGGTACAAGCGCCAGCGCAACGCCTGGATTTTCGACCACGCCGGGGTCGTTTTCGACCACGCCCGGATCGTTTTCCACCACGCCCGGGTTTACCTCAAGTGTGTCTTCGGCCGCATCTGTATCGGGGTGCACTAGCTCCGTTTGCGCAGGAGGGCGAAACACGCCGTTTGTTCCGGTAGATTCGAACAACAACAGGAGACCTTCAAGCAGTGGCGCAACGCCCACACTTGTAAACGCAGCTGTTTCTTCTGGCACCACGATGAGCAGTTGTGCAACATCAACTTTGAAAAAGCCGGCGGACGTCGTCGCCGCAGCTCCTTCGCAAAAGTCACTAAAAAGCGCAGGAGGCAGTTCTGGAGGTGCCAAGAAAGGGAATGACAGTTCTTCCGCATCGTCCTCCTCCTCAGATAGTTCGAACTCCAGCGACGACTCTTCCTCGGACGAGGAGAGCAAGAAAAAACAAAACGCAGCGGCGACGAAGCCGGAGACCGGACTGGAGAAGGTCACTGCGACTAATTCTGTGTCCGCTCCCTCCGGTATTACTAAGGAAGCCGGTCTAGTAGCAGCTGCACCTAGAGCAGGAGATTGCGTTGAGACCAGTGGTACGAGCACGGCGAAGAAGAAAAAAGGAAAGGGAAAAGCCGCTGGAAAGCGCGCCGGTGCAGCCGCCAAAAAAGTTGCAGACACCGCGGAAGATGAAAGTGCGAAGGGTACTACTCAACAACCTGGCACGACGACTACAGCAAGTGCAAGTGGCGGGGACAAGAAACAAGTTTCTTCTGTACCGGCAGATGAAGCCGATGCTCAAGAACAAGACAAGCCGAAAAGAAAGGGAAGAGGAAAAGCGAAGAAAAACAAAGCTGACGTCGACAAAAAAGTAGAGAGTGCTGAAGTAAAAGCTGGCGCCACGACGACACAGACTCCTGGGGTAGAAGTCGGAGTAGTTTCTTCATCTTCTTCTACAACTACTAGCAACAAGCGGCCAGCAGCACCGAGTGGTCCGGATCATGAGCGCAATGTGGATATTAAAAACGACCAGGAGAATCACGCGATAAAGAGGGCCAACACGAACTCCGATCTATCCACTGTCGCAGCTGGTGTAACCTCATCATTGAAACAGAATGCAGCCGCAGCGCAGGCCCTGTCTTTGGAGCAGGTACAACTAGCGGATGCGAAGAAGATATTCAACGACCCAAGCACCAGCGCAGCCGTCGTGGGTTCTTCTTCTAAACAAGTAGACAAGATGAAGCCAGCTAATCGGTCGTCTTCCGAAAAGTCGAGCAGTTCCTCTAAGTCCGGCTCATCTTCGTCCTCTTCATCGAGTAGCAAAAGTAGCTCCTCCGGCTCCGACTCCGACTCCGACAGCTCGACGTCCTCGCGGGACTCGCACGGCAACCCGAATGTGGACCCGGCGCTGCAGGAGGACGATGACGTGTCCGATGTGGAATCAGAGAAGGAAGATGACGCGGGGGAGCAGGAGGCCAAGAAAAAGCTCCTGGAAGGCTTGCGGCAGACCCACCCGGTGTTCACGCGAATACTAGACGACACGCCGGAGAAGCGAGCGTTGTTTGCGCAGCAGGAGATGAAGCGGCAATCCTCGGAGTTTAAGAAGGACCTGGAGCAGAAAAAGCTTTTGTGCCGACGCTCTCTGGAACACCGGGCGAGGACCAACGTGCAGAATATACAAAAGAGCACAGCTTTGAAACACCCAATAGCTTTCGACGACTTGAGCCTTATCTTGCAGCAGGTACTGATGTCGTGAAATTTGCGTTTGTTGTTTGGTGTTGTAGCTGTGTGCTGAAAGAAGTAGAGGTGTTCGTTGCTGCAGCTAGTACCTGTGTCGACGTCATATGCTAATCTATATACTATAGGGGCAAGATATGTATTTGTTCCTCCCAAAGCTTCTGAAGGTTTGACCTTCTGAAGACCTTCTGACGCTCAAAACTTGATTTTTGGGCTTCAGAAGGTAAAAAAATATAGTCGTCTACTTTTCATGTTAAAAAACGCAGAATTAGCTCGCGCAAATCAAATTCTGGCTCATTTTTTACAACCTTCAGAAGGTCCAACCTTCTGAAGGTTTTTTTTCACCTTCTGAAGAATTTTCTCGATTTTTCGACAAAAAAACCTTCAGAAGGCAAAAAAATGACTTTGAAAAACCTTCAGAAGGTAGGCATTCTTCTGAAGGTTTGGTTCGTTTCATGAAATTGCAAACCTTCAGAAGGTTGCGAGTTTTTACAGGCAAAAAATGAACAAAAATCGAAACACCTACAAAAACCTTCAGAAGACTAAAAATCTTCTGAAGGTTTTTCACAAATTGTCTCGTTTTTAAAAAAGTGCAAAAATTAAAATTCGCCCACCTTCAGAAGAATTTGACTTCCCATTCTTCTGAAGGTGAACCTTCTGAAGACTCTCCAGAAGATATTGCACAAATTGGCTTTTTTGATGTGCGCGAAACTGTTTACTCGACTAAAAAAGGCCTCTTTTGTGACAGCCATTGTTCAAAAAATGAAACAAACCTTCAGAAGCTCTTCAGAAGCTTCGTCGCTGTTTGCATTTTGAATGCGCAGTTGCTTTTTTTTCCAGCGCAGACGACAAAAATGCAAAGCACTACAGTCCGCTTTTTTTTCATGGCTCGGAGCCTCCCGCTCCGATAGAATAGCTCAGCGGAAAATTTTCGCTGCTCTTGTTGGGGAAAGATTTTCGCTCTCGGGCCTTCGGCCGCGTCCGACCGACGCAGCTACTCGACGAGGAACCGCTACGCCGCATCAGTCTGGCGATGGAAAGGCAACAAATTGGAAAAAAAAAGTGAAAGAAGTAAGATGCTCTCGATGAGATCTCAGTGAGATTTCAGTGAGTCTCGCTCTAGAAAAAGTGAGATCTCAGCGAGATCTTACTTCCTAAGAAGTCTCACGGTCCGAATCAACTCTCCGAGAGGGCCCAAAAGTAAAACTTTGAAAAAAGTAAGATCTCGCTGAGATCTCACTTTCTGAGACATCGCACTTTTGGGCCGCCAAGTGAGATTTTGAAAAAAGTGAGAGCTCCCTGAGATTTTCTGAGAAGTCTCACCTTTGGGCCGCCCGAAAGTGAGATTTTTAAAAAAGTTGTGAGATCTCACTCCTTTTCCGGTGCGGCAGTGAGCACGTTCTTTTTTCTTTCATAACCAACGGGAAGAACAAACACAATGCTTGCCCCGCGACGCAGTCGCGGGGAGTGGTTCTTAAGTACAAGTATGCAAATGCATGATGATGATTCAAATGTAAATGAGCAAAGCTACAGCGACTATTACTCAATCAGGTTTTCGACAACGAGGGCAACAAGGTGGCCAAAAGTATCCGGCAGTTTGAGGATCCGGCCAAGAAGGTCCAGAGCCTGACGATCGGGGTGACGAACGGTCGCTCCAAGGGCGGCGTGCTGTGTAAGGACAACGAGCTCATCGTGGACATGGAGAAGGTGAGACGGGCGGCGAAGAGTAGAAGTGGCACTGGTGCTGGTAGTTCTTCGAGTTACGCCAGTAGTTCGACGCTGCACCGCTTTGGCGCCCCAGCGGCTCCGCAGCAGCTGAAGTTTGTGGGCGGCAAGCTGGTGATTCCGAAAGAGCCCTCGGGTTTGAAAAGGCAAAAGCGAGGGGAAAAGCAAGCGCTGAAGAAAGCAAACAACGCGTTGCCGAACAGTGGCGAGTTTGTGAATTTGAACGAAAGCGAAGAAGTGTTGGCGAAAGTGCTCGCATTTTTCAAGTGCGACAAATTCGTCACGAATGGCAGCACCTGCTTCCAAAAGATCTCCTTCAAGAACAAGCCGCGGGAGCGAAATTTGTGCAAAGCGATTTGGATGATAGAGGAGGAAAACAAGTACGGAATCAAACACCCGAGGAACCGCGCGACGGTGAAAACAGCAACGTCGGGAACGAAAGAGGAGAGTAGTGCAACCGCTTCGACGAGCGCGCAGACAGCCACGCCTGGGTTCGATAGCAATGTCGCCTCTTCCTCCCCTCCCGGGGGCGCGGGAATGAATCATGACGCACAGCAACAAGGTGATCTTCCAACGAGCGCCGCGAGCTCATTCTCGGCTCCTGCTTACCTGGACAAGGATTTCGAGGCAGCGCAGAAAAAATTGCAGAAGTTGAAGATGCGGGAGAAGAAGTGCAATGACGTTTTCGACAAGTACCGGCCGCTGAGCAACACGATTACCGAACTCAACAAATTTGTCTGTCCAACACACATCCAAGAGGAGCTGGGCCCGCAGAAGCTGGCGGAGGAACGGTTTCTACTCGATTACAAGACCACGGGGTGCGTCATCCAGGATGAGGTCTTGCTTCAGGACGTCTACCAGGCGGAGCGGCCGAACCAGCTAAGTTACACCAGTATCGTGGTCCACAAAAACGCGAAGACCGAGATCCACACGGATAGGGGGAACGTAGGGCTTAGCGAGATCTGCTGTTGTGGGGATTACGAGGGCGGCGGTTTTTTTGAGTACGATCCGAGTTTGACTTTAGAAGATTTGAAGAATCAGCCTGGAGAAAGGACGGATAAGCTGCCCCCCGTTCACAAGCCCGTGGACGGGCGGATTGTTCCGCTCGAGGTGAAAAAGGAGGTGGCGCTGGACCAGAACGAACGAAGAATAAAAGTATCGGTGTAGCGAAAACGATGATCCGCGTCGCACAGGAAATCATCCGAAGCGATTTCCGTGCCGCGATGTGCTACGCGAAAAGAGACATCAGTCAAGTCTACCAGCGCGAGGCCGTTGCGGTCGATGAGAAACCGAGCTTCCTGTCGGATTTCATCCAGAGTATGTACGATAAATTTCCGCACGCAAAGGACCGAAAAACTGCTATGGGGTGCGTCGATGACACCGATCTGGAAATCGCTTTCCGAAAAATCGACGCGGGACCCAGATTGCCGGTGGTTACAGCGATGATTGCAGAACATTTCGAGATAATGGCAGAGGTGACAAAAACTTTCTTGGCGGTCAGAAAATGCGAAGCAATCGTGATAAGCCATGACGACTCCCAGGATGCCGCGACCGAGTGCAACGAGCTGGCCACCGCGATCCAGCAAAGCCTTCGAATTTTCGGGAAAACGATAAGGATAGTTAAAAGCGCCAAACTCTTCGGATTCCCAATTGCTTGCCAAGTAGGAAGTATCTACCGCTCCGCCTGCCGCCAACACCTCTGCTTCGCATTAGCTATCACCCGAGAGGTTTTCCGGTTACTGGGCAACAAACCGACGCTGGAAGACTTCAATCAAGTCCCAGGGTGGGCTACAACGAGCAGAGTGCGTCACCTCCTCGTGGTGCTGAAATACTACGACGAACCTCTGTTCAACGAGATAACGAACGAAATAGCAGTGCGCTTGATGCAATTCTACGGAGTCACATCAAAAAACCTGAGCCGGTTCGTTCGGGGTTTCGCAGAGGCCGAAGGGGAGCCGATTTCTGCCGGGGACATCTTCTTCGCAGGGGTGATGGGAATAAAAAATTGGAAAGAAAGATACGACAGGACGATCCGGAGGGCGGCCACGAGCGAGCTGATCGCGTTGAACGAGACGCGCTACGACTTCCTCCTACAAGCGGCGTGCTGGGGCTTATCGGGCACCGAAAAAGAGGATAGGTTAAGACTTCTGACGAGCGACGAGATGAAGTTTGCGCTCCCCCACAGAATCAGCTATGATCTACTTCGCGCTAATTCGACCATGCGGAAAGAAGGTGTGACGATCCAGCACGAGAACGAGTCCGATTCCGACGAGCCCGCGACCGACACCCGGGGAGACGACGTGTTCTACCGGGGCAGGAACAATACTGCCTACCTGAAGACGAGTTCAGGGAGGCGCTTCGCAGCAAATATAATGCTGCCGGACGCCAATCTCATGAAGCCTTCAGTTGCCGCCAACGCAGCTTACGCGAAAAACGTGGCGGAACTAGTACTTCGATATGGGGATCTCCTCACCGGTAGGACGACATGGATATTTTCCCTGTCACTAGCTGCGGTAAAAAAGAACCCGGCTACGGCGCACGAGATTTATGCCGCTGCCGCAGACGTCGCTAAGAAGAAGCAAGGCTCAGAGAGACCCGGGCCTCGCTTCCGTATTTCTTCGACGAGCCCGATTTGGAACCAGCGAGAGTGGGCGACTGTGCCACTGGTCTCTTCGAGTGTTGCCGATTTTTGCTACATTAACCCGAAAGAATGGGACTCCATCGATCCTGCCGCGAACGACACATCCGAAAACGTTTTTGATTTGTTCGAAGACGCCGAGTTATTAACGGAGAAAGAAGACGACGCCCCCGAGGCGGTAGGAATCGCGATAAACCAAAGAAAAAAAGGAGTTGCGTCCAGGTTCGAAAGCCTCCTCGCCCGCGAAGGATATCTTGAGACGGACGAGGCCCCACAAGCCGGCGCCCCAGCCCCGGCGTGACGCCGACCAGGACTTTACGAGAGCTTTCTCTTTGTGTCACTACCGAACTTTGAGTACGACAAGACCTGTATTTCCGAGCTGTAAACGAGTACGAGAGCCCACTACACTAACGGAGCCACGCTGCACTACGAGCTTTTCTTTGCTGACGTGATTTGAGTACGACCTGACCCGCATTTTCGAGCGGAGAACAACGAGCTGGAACATCGAGACCTTATTCCCCGACAGGACGACTTACGAAAGGCTTTTCACATGATAGAACAGGACAGTTTTCCTTTGCTGTACTACGAACTCTTATTTGCTGAACTGACTTGTGTACGACCAGACCCGGATATGCGAGCTGAAAACTACAATCTGGAAGATCGAGTCCAGGACAATTTTCCTTTGCTGTACTACGAACTCTTATTTGCTGAACTGACTTGTGTACGACCAGACCCGGATATGCGAGCTGAAAACTACAATCTGGGAGATCGAGTCCTTATTCCTCGCCAAGCCAATCTACGCCAGCCATTCATGTATTGCTTCTCGAAGCGCTTTTTCTTTTTGTATCGTCTTTCGAGACATTACGTCTTTCGGTCCCATCGATATCATTGTGCGTATAGGTAGTGCTTTTCGAAGCGCCGTTTCACTTTGTATCGTCTTTCGAGACATTACGACCTTCGGTCTCATCGGTTTCATTGAAAATCTAGGTATTCATTTGGGCCTTAGGGCTTCTACCGGACTGTTCCCGCGCATGCGAGACATGACCGTGCCACAAAGACTGCTAGGCCCCTGGAAGGACAAGGTGCGCACTTTCAAAGTTCGGAGTAAAACGCAAAAGGTAGGCGGACTGATAGAGCCGGCGCGGTATGTGGTGCTAGGCAGGGAGTACGACATCAAGCACAAAATGCGGCGGATCAACGGCAAGTTCCCCCACGCTACGATGCCGTTCTCCGGATGCCGGTTCTGCGTCGTGTTCTTCACGCACCAAACCTTCACGCAGTGCTACATGGGCGAGGGGAAAAAGGGGAGCGAGGAGATGCTGAAGAGGCAATTGGCCTGCATGAAGAACTCCTTCGGATTCTCCCTGCCGGGGGAGGTTGACTGCTGGCGCGCGAGCGCGCAGGCGTCCTGGGACAAGCAGAATGCGCTAACAAAGAAAAGAGCTGCGTTCTGGGACAGCACGCTTGAGAGGAAGGAGAAGAAACATCACAAGACCATCAGCGACAGAATGGCCCACCTGAAGCGCCTCGGCGAGCCGAAAACGTGGGAAGAAGTGAAAGACATCGTCGCGGAAGAGGAGGAACACAAAAGGATCAGGAAGCAAGCGTACCACAAAGTGCAAGGTTACCTCTACCGGAAGCGAAAGAGGGCAGAGGACGTCGCCTTACTGGATCGGGATGCCGCGAAGGCCCTGGAAGCCGGGGCGGATCTGAAGGAAATCAACAAAAAGAAAAAAACCAAGAAGAACCCTACGAAGTCGAAGGAGTTCCAGCGAAGGGTGCAAAAGCTGATCGAAGAGGAGACGGCGAACTCCACAGTGCTCCGATACCTGGCGGCGAAGAAGAAAGGTTTACTGGCTGGAGGGGGTGCTGGAGCAGCATCTACTTCAGGCGGAGGCATCAACACATCAAGCAAAGCGGTAGGGCAGCAACAGCCCACGACTAACGAATTGAGATCTTCGCAGCCTTCGAAGCACCAGGCAAATGCATCTGCGGATGCAGGGCGCGAACGAGGTCGCAGCGTTGCACCAAAGAAGCGCGGTCGACCGTCGAAAGCTGACGCAGAGGGTAAGGGTGATGGCGATGAGGCAAAAAGGGTTAAGGGAGAGGGTTTGGGTTCTTCGGGTAAGTAGGTTCAGTCTCTTCATCAGCTTTGCGAATTGAATATCGTCGATCGCGATGAAACTTTTCCAAAAGCCGAGGACCACTTCTTGTTCTTTCGAAGAAAACCGACAAATTCGTTCGAAAAATATTATAAATATTGATTTAGATACCTAAGCTAACAAGTTGACCAGTGAGAGCAGGCGTTCCACCCTTTTTACAATAAGATTTATGCCTCACGAAAAATGCGCGGTACGGGTACCAAGAATGCGACAAATCGATAGACATAGAACTACTAAAGCGACAAAATATAACCAGCGACAAAGAGCTTCTTTTGAGCTAAGGGTCTCCTGATGTCCCTTTTTAATCTTGGACATTCGAGCACCTGTCTGCCAGAGACAAGATGCGCATTCCAGAAGAGGTCCCTCATTTTGATGCGTCTTGCTTCCGATTTCGTTTTCTCTTTATGCTTTTCAATGGACTAGGGAAAACCAAAACGAAAATACGACTAAAAGTATATTGGAAACAGAGCTGCAAGAAACGAGACGCTTCGAAAGTAGGAGCCGGATGACCAACATCATCTTACTTTTCAGGCGCAGGAGGCAGATGAAACGTGTAGAAGTTGTTCGGTCCGCGATCTATCTTCCTTAGTCGAAGCTGATTAAAAAGTGAAATGGATTTTTGGGCTTTGTTGGATCAGAGCAAGAACGAACACACTCCACATGGATATTCAGTTGGCAGAAGAAAGTATTAGAGCTCATCAAGATCATGAGGGATCTTGATGTCTGACTCTGAACGTGAATCCGCAAGATAAATACAAAACGAAAACGCTTTTTTTCATATTTCTTTTCAGAACAGCGATGCTGAACGCGCCAAGAAAAACCTTGACACGTACCAGAAACAGAAAGCAAAATTAGTATACGTAGACGAGTGATGAAGGGCATGTACTAGATTCTCTTCGTTCTCACAGACGACTTCTTTTCAAGTCGGTCCAAATTTTGTCTGGACTAGTAGTTGAACTTCTTCGGCTGTTTTTGATAAATCAACTTTTTTGATATTTTCTTGTTGCCGCTTTCGCGAAACCGAAACGTAACAAATTTTCTTTGGGCTTTTTTCTTTAACAAAAACGCTTAATGTCAACACCAACACGAACGAGGGAAAAAATGTCATCGTTGAGCCGGTTCTTCCTCCTTTTTCTTATGTGCAGCAGTGGGGGGGAGAACGAGAACGGCATGTGCCCGACTGCTTACAGCGATC